CACATCTGGACCCGGGTTTGGAAAGGTGCGTGCGCCTCCCTCCTACAGTCGMACTGCGGCTGTCTTCCACGCTGTGCTGAACATCTCTTTTTAACAATCCCCAGCCTTCATTTCCCTTTCCTCAAACCACCTGGATGGAGGCAGCTTCGCAGATGTTGGGATGTCAGAATCCAAGCAGCACCGACTGAGGTTTCAGGCAGAGCGTGTTGAAAACGTTCACAGGGGCGGGAAAGGGGGACGGGTTTCTCTGTCCCTCAGCCTCCCTACTGCCCAAGGCTTTTGCTTTTCTTTGTAAGGAATTAGTGAAAAGTAAAGCCCACCTGATTTGGCTGCCCACAGGCAGCCCTCCCTGGCTGTGTCCTCCAGGCCTAGTGGGGACTTCCGATGCTGGGGTGGGAAGGACAGCTCCTGTGGCGGCCAAGGTCAGGGAGCCAGGGTGGGATTGGAAAGGTCACCCTGGAAATAGAACTGGCTACATTTAAAAATCCTCTTTGATTTGAAACCATCACCTGAACTGGCTTTAATTTGCTGTCGCTTCTGTAGGATGGCTGGTGCACCTCTAGGGGACAGCAGGCACTGATGGGAATTTGTGTCTTCTCTTCCCCAAACAAAAACCTTAAAACAGAGCTGGGGAATGAGCGTGCTAAGCCATCGGGGCCCCTCTTCTCTCCCCTCCCCTTGACTCCAGACCCCTGTGTGCCCCTCGGTGACATAAAATGCTTAGTTGAACTGATAATGCAGGCCATGCCACTAGGTTAAGGGGAAAAAGTGAGATTTGGTTTCTTCAGTTTGGCCAGTAAAAGGGGCAGCGAGGTTACCCCACCCCTGCAATTTCCGCATGGCAGCCACCTGGGCAGCCCTCCTGTCCCACAGTAGAGCTTTGTGTCTCTGAAGTGAAGAGGGGTTGTTAGAGTCTATAAACAAGTCAGGATGGCGCCTGGTATTTTGCCAGGGGGAGTGGTTTGTGAGGTGGCGCCAGTGAGCCATTAAGTGTGGATTAAGTGTGGAGATTTCTTATTATGTATCTAGTTTATGTTAATGAAGAGAAGCTGTGTGGGATGTATAAATACCTCTGTTGTCCTACAATAAAGGGCTCCCACTCCTGCTGCATCAGTCTACACAAGTTGCTCGTCACCCGCTGTGTATTTTGCTGCAGCCGGACTGCGGCAAGGGGTCCTTCCATTCCCTTCACTCAAGGGTGGCTTGTGGCCCTCATGGAGAGGGCTGAACCCACTCTCCTCTGGCATCAGCTCAGACTCCTGGGGGAGATGCTGAGGCAGTGTCTCTGGGCTGAGGCCTGTGACCCAAGTGTCACAATCAGAACTTCTCACAGTGAAATTTGTACCTAAGAGGAGCTTTGTTACACGACAGGGACCTTCAGGACACAGAATTCAGCTGAGTCCAGCCAGTCACGGTGAAGGTCGGGTAGATTAGACCAGGATCCCAAGAATTTAAATAAGTCACTGACCTTGAAACAGAAATGATCTCCAGCCTAGGCGTTTTGGAATAAGTTCATGTTCTAGCTTGAAATTAGTATATTTTATAAAATAAAATGTGTTTGCAGTTGCTTTTCACTCTTCTGTTTTTCACTTTTGTTCTGGATTTGGGCAATGGGACACTTCTGTGTCTCCTTCCTCGGGGGGCCTCCAAGTACTTAGCACTTAGTGATGACACCAAGACAACATGGAAAGGTGACCCCATTTTAAGGCACAGAAAAGACACAGGACTTACTTTTCTGAACCCACATCTGTGGGAAACAGAAGGCCTTTTGCATTATGCTGGTCACCCACGTCAGAGTCCAGCTTGAACCCCCAGGCATGGGTTCTGGCGGCCTACTTGGCCGCTGCTGAGCCGGTGTGGGTGACTYGTCCAGCACAACCATGTGGCTTCTCACAGGGTCTTTCCATTTGTTTCTTAATCTGCAGGATGGATGGGCGTGTTCATTTTGTGATAATTTAGGAAGCCCCTGTACTTACGTGTCTGCCTGAACATTATGCTTCAACTAAAAAGCATGAAAAGAAAAAGGAAACAGTCATTTGGTGGCTATAGGAATCCCTTTTGTTTAAACTAACTTAAAATTTATTCTGTATTAACTTGTGGCTTTTATTTTTTAAATGAACTTTTTTATTTTGAGAGAATCACAGATTCACTTGCCGTTTAAGGAGAATACAGAGAGGTTTTCAGGTCTCTTTGCCTGATTTCCCTTCTTGGTTACATCATGAGAAACTATAGAACAATATCACACCCTGGACTTTGATACAGTGACATTGACACAGTCAGGGTACACCGTTTCTGCACCACCCAGGTTCTCTCTCTGTGGCTCCTTTATAGCCACACTGTCTTCCCATTTCTCTCCCTCTTCAATTCCAGGCCACAGGCACTAACCTCTTCTCCACTTCTATAATTTTGTCATTTAAAAAATGTTGTATACCTGGGCACGGTGGTGCACACTCATAACCCCGGTGACCAGGAAGGCTGAGGCAGGGGATTGCAAGTTGGAAGCCAGCCTCAAAATAAAACAATAAATAAAGAGCTGGGGGTGCAGCTTGSTGGTGGAGTGTCCTGGGTTCAATTCCCAGTACCGCATCAACAACAACAATAATAATAATATGGTATAAATGGAATCACATAATATGCAAAATTTGGAACTGGCTTTTCCATTCAGCATAATTTTCTGGGGGTTCATTTATACGGTTGGGTGCAAAAGTGGWCTGTTTATTTGTACTGCTAAGCAGTATTCCATGGTATAGATCTGTCTGGCTTCTCCTTACCCTTTCCCTCTTGCAATTGCTCAATTTTCTGGGCCACTGTTATGTCATTGTCCCCAGGAACTGGCTTATTGACTTCAAGTGCATCAGGTATTAAAATATAGTGTCTTATCAGTATTCACTTGTGAAAGAAAACAACAACAACAAAGAGTCAAGGCTTACTTTTCTTCTTGCATTAATAGTTTGTGCTGAGAAAAATCACGTCTTCTCCTGCTAATGACCATATAGGGTGTTCACAGACTGATGGTTTTATGTATAGATTTTCAGGAAAATTTCTGTATCCATTTTTTTGGACATTTTTGTTGGTAAACACTTATGATTAATGGATCRTATGGAGATATTTGTTGAACTAAGAAACTGCCATAAGCACTTTTGCAAATGCGGTTGTCCCATTTTATACCTCCACTAGCAACAGGTGAGGGAGTCCCGGCTCCACAGCCTCTCCACTGTCGCCAGCCTTCTAGCGTCAGTTATTCTCCAGGGATGCAGCCTATCTCACTGAATGTGGATTTTCATTTCTCAGATCTCTAATGCTGTTGGGCATCCTTTCAAGTGATTGTTGGTCGTATGTCTCTTTTTGAAAAGTATCTGGTTAAATATTCTGCCTATTTATGACCCCTACCCCCGTGTGTGTGTGTGTGTGTGTGTGTGTGTGTGTGTGTGTGAGAGAGAGAGAGAGAGAGAGAGAGAGAGAGAGTGCTAAGTTGTAAGAGTGTGCTATATATACATCCTGGATATGCTACTCATATTTTTCCCAGTCTGTGGCCTGCCTATTAATTTTTCTAACAATGTCTTTTGACAAGCAGATGTGTTTAAGTACGATGTATGAAGTTGTCAATGTATGAACTTTGTTAGCGCCCTTGTGCCTTTTTGAAGAAATCTCTGCCTGACTCGGGGTTGTGAAGGTAGTCTGTTTTGCTCTCTCTTAGAAGCTTTTTTACATTCCTTACTTCTACATTTAGTCTACTTTGAATCTCAAATTTATTTCTGAGTATAGTCTAAGGTCGGGGTTGGAGTTGATTTTTCATGTTATCCAAGGGTTTAGGCACGGTTTGTTGAAAGGCTTTCCTTCCTCTGTTGAAATGTCTGACCTCTTTATGGAGAATCAGGTGGTCATCATCTGTTTGGGGGGCTTTCTATCAATTCCATTGATTTGTCTATTATTTTGCTAATTGTGCCATGATTGATGTAGTAGTTGATCTTATACCAGATAATGCAAGTCCCCAAGATAGTTTATTCCTTTTCAGAATGCTTTTGACTATCTTGTGTTCTGTGTGTTGGAACTAGCTTAGGCCTTTCCTGGGGAAAAGGAGGTRTTTATGATTTTGATTGTGTTTGCACTGAATCCATTCTCAGCTGTCTTGCTTTGTGGTGATGAGGATTCAGCTGTCATTCTTACCATTTTTCCCAAGCATTAGATTGACTTTTCTCTCACTAATATTTTCATAATTTTGGTTTTAAGAAATTTTATTATTACATGCATAAGTGCAGTACTGCTTGGTATTCACTAAACTTCTTAAATATGTGGAAGATATTTTATCATATCAAAATGAGAGGGATTGCTGTTGTAGCTAAGTGGTAGAATGCTTGCCTAGCATGTAGGAAGCACTGGGTTTGATTCTTAGCACCACATAAAAATTAATTAATTAATTAATTAATTAATTAAAGCTGTAAAAATAAATAATATTTTTTAAAAATCAGAAACATTCAACCATTACATATCTAAGTATTGTGGATCTCATTCTCTCTGACATCTAGGGTTATAAGAGCACACGTGTATCTAGTATAAGGCACAGGGCACTGAGGTTCTGTTCATTTCAAGCCCCACTTGAAATAATTTCTGCTTCTGGGTCATTTTCAAGATTACTGACCTTTGGTCTTCAGTGTTCATTCTGCTCTTAAACCCACAAGTGAATTTTTAATCTCAAATATTTCATTTTTCAGTTCTAGAATTTTCCTTCCATTCTTTTTCTGTAGTTACAKTTCTCTTATAAAATATTCCATTGTAATACATGATACCCACTTTTCCTTGTAAATTCTTGAACACATTTATAATAGTTATTTAAAAATCCTCATTAGCTAATTTCAATAACTGATCATCTCGTAGTCTGCTTTTACTGATTGTGCTTTCTCTTTGGGATGTGGCACATTTTTCTGCTTTTTTGTTTTCTATTTTTGTACTCCAGACATTTCATACAACAGGTTTTAATTCTTTCCTTTATTGCTGTTTCTTTAGTGTGGCTGTTAGGCTGATCATCCAGAGTCCCCCCACCCCAGGGGCTGCTTTAATCAGTGCGTTCACTGTGCTCAGCCCATGTTGTACCCCAGCCCATGCTGCCTGGGGCCCTGTCTGCAGCTGAGCTGGACGGAGGCTGGACTGCAGTCTCAGGCACCATGGACTCATCTCTGAGTTCAATTCCAGCACGGTCCTCAACCCAGGCACCAAGGCTACACAGGACTGCGCAGTTTCCTCTGCTCTCCAGCCTCCGTAAGATGCTGCTTGTGCCGCAAAAATCCTGGATTAGGCATTGAAAATGTCCAGGTCAGGAGTCTGTGTTGTGCTTCAGTTCTTCCCAATTCCACTCCATCTGGTCACTTTACTCACCCTTCAAATTCTCTCCTCTGTTCAATATGCACACACCTCTGTCTACCTGCACCCAAAATGGGCACCTACCCTCATGTTGGTAAGCTTGCATGGCTCTTTGCTTACTTATAAAGACCTCATTTCTCCCTGGAATGACTTCTGTAGTCCTTTCTTAGGTACTGTACTTTTCAGTAGCCCCAGTACCATGGCGGCAAAGTTCTCTCAACTCCTTCTGTATCCTAACTAAAAGTGGGAGCCTTCCCAAACTGTTTTTGAAATCATTTTGGTGCATGAAATAAAAACTCCAGTACACAGCCTTTTTTCATAATACCTTTGGACTCTTACTGCACAGTCAGCCCTTCATATTTGTGGGCTCTTGTTTTAGTCTGKTTTTTTTTTTTTTTTTTTTTTTGCCATTGTGACCAAAAGACCTGGCAACAATTTTAAAGGATAAGAAGTTATTTGCTGCTCATGGTTTCAGAAGTCTCAGTCCTTAGACTTCATTGCCCTCAGCCTGAGAGGAGGCAGAACATCATGGCGAATGAGAAGAGCAGCTCAGGACATGGCAATCATAGGAAGCAGAGAGAGCTCCAATCACCAGGGATAAAATATAAACCCCAAATGCATGCCCCAAGTGACCCAGTCCTCCAGCCACACCACACCTGGTACAGTCTACCCAGTTGATGCCATCAGGGGTTAAGGCACTGATTAGGACAGGGCTCCCGTAACCCAGTCATTTCACCTCTAAACTTTCCTGCACTGTCTCACACATGACTTCAGGGGCCACCTCACATCCAAACCATAACAATTCTGCATCCACAGATTCAACCAACCACAGATGAAAACACTCTTTAAAAAGTTGTGTCTGTGTTAAGCATATCCAGAATTGGTTTTTCTTGTCACGATCCCCTAAATGATAGGCTATAACAACTATTTACATTTATAGTGAGTAAGGTAATCCAAAGATGATTTAAAGCATCGGAGAGGATGTGCGTGGATCAAATACTACCCCATCCTAGATGAGTGATTTGAGCATCGGCAGATTGTGATATCTGCAGCAGGTTGTGGGGGTCCTATGGAATTTATCCCCTGCTGTACCAAAGCATGTCTGTATTGAGTTCTGGCAATTTGGGGGGCTTTCTGGGGAGAAGAGGGTACCAAGGATTGAACAGCCACATCCCCTGCCCTTTTTAAATTTGTTTTATTTAGAGGCAGGGTTTCACTAAGTTGCTTAGGACCTTGCTAAGTTGCTGAGGCTGGCTTTGAACTCATGATCCTCCTGCCTCAGCCTCCTGGGCTGCTGGGATTCCAGGAATCTGCCCCCACGTCCAGCTAGTTGGCAGGGCTTCTGCCTCTTGAAATGTTTGAAAAATCACTCTTCTTGGGTGTGTCCTAATCAGACTAAACTATCAGTTGACTAAAACGTCCTCTTCTTTTGTAGGAAAATGTCTGAAGCTAATATGGCACCTCTTTGATAACCACCTAATTGAATATTCTTTCTCACTTCATGTCACTGCCTTCACGGGTAGAAAGTGCTACCAAGAGCTGCGTTGTGGTTACTTTAATTCCATTGCCAAAACTTTCATATGGTTTCCTGTATTCTAAAGGGAAGGCAGCGTGCAGTTGTCTTCTTTCTAAACTTCTCCTCTTATGAATCAGTTCTAGTATGAATAAATGTCAGAAGTTCTTATTAAGTGGTTAAAGCTGGTGCCTCGTGTCAGTACTCTAGTCTTAGGTAATGATGATTAAGCAGACTTTGTAAAGGAAATGCCAGAGTTGTAAAGAAATTGCATTTATTACTAACTAGAGAACACAGGATAATAATAACAATAGTGCTAGGGGTGCATGCAGCTCATGGGACAGGGCTTGCCTAGGGTGTGTGAGGCCCTGGGTCAATCTCTAGCACAGCCAAAGAAAGGAAGGAGGAAAATAGCAACAATGTTTATAAATGCTCACCCTCTGCCAGATTCTCCTCATCCTTACATCTTAGAGAGAAAGAAATCATGAGGAGTGGTAATGTCAAGGATCAGAGCTGCTTTCCTTCAGAGAAATGGGCATTTCGGTAATACTTAGTAAATAGTTGAATTGTGTACTCTTTAGTCAAAAAATAAATTGCAAGCTGGGTGTGGTGGCACATGCCTGTACTCCCAGTGACTCTGGGGGGCTCAGGCAGGAGGATCTCAAGTTGGAGGCCAGCCTCAGCAACTTAGCAAGGCCCTAAACAAGTTAAGGAAGCCCTGTTTCAAAATAAAAAAGGGCTGGGGATGTGGCTCAGTGGTTAAGCACCCATGGGTTCAGTCCCTGKTACCAAATTACTTGATTAATTCATTTAATTAAATTGCAGTAGGAAGAACATTTTGAAGGTAAAATATGTCTAAATATAGGCTAAGTGAAGGTGTGGTTTTTTTTGGTTAAGAAGGCAGTTTCTCCGGTCTGTTGTATCAGACTATGCTAAATATTTTTATTAGCTAAAGAGCTAATCAACATAAGATATGATTTAAGCTGATGCCAAAGAAGTATCAATTAGGARTCCTGATTATTGTTTGAACCACAGAGTTTTGTTTCATGCTATCAAAACTTGGCTGTCAAGGAAACCAGGAAAATGTACCTGTTCCTGGGACTGGGAGGCCCAGCAAGCTACGGCCTAACCCTGCCATGAGGAGCACTCTGGGCAGTGAACTGAGAGAGACAGAATCACAGCACGGGGTGTGAGACTGTGCCACAGGAAGTGTTGATCACTGGTCAGGCAATAGGGGCTCAGGTGGCATATTAGCCACCATGGCCTACCACCAACATTTGTCTTTATAAAGGGTAGGCAGTCCTTTGGGAGAGGCGAATGGGTGGGGATAAGTCAGGCCATAGCTTCTGTGCATTCCTGAGTTTGGAAGTCTTTGCTAGAAGTCTTTACTAGCTGCAGGCAATTTATTTGACTTGGCAGTGTTCACTGGCCAGGCCATGATTTGGCGGCCCACATGTTGTTCCTTGGAAGGGATTTGAATTGTGTTTGTGTTTTGGCTTAAGGTGGTGAGCTGGAGGACCAGAGAGGGGACAATGACCAGTGCAGAGGCGTTCTCCTAGCTTCCCAAAGAACAATCTGCAGAGAAAGTATCTCTCCCTCCACAGGAAGAGAATCCAGTGTGTTCTGGACACCCGTTTGCATCATGGCAGCTGGTTCTGAAGCCAGATCATCTCTGGGCGCCATTACGGCCATGGTATTTTGGGGACATCTGAGCCAGTGTGGTTGGGCAGGCCCGTGTGCTCTCTCTGGGCATACAGACGTCTTAGGTGGAGTATCAAAAGTTACACACTGGCTGCAACGCAGGAGGTGATCCTCAGTGCGACACCCACGGCCTCCAAGACTGGAAACAGTGAGCGCTTGGAGGAAGACGGAGCAGACAGGGTGGACAGGGCTGTAGAAAGAAGCTCCTGGGTTAAACCCACTGGCACCCTCACCAGAGTGGTGACTTGCACCAACAGGATGAATATTTTTAAGGCTTGGTTTCCTCACTTGTAAAGTGGAGGGGTCCCCAGGAGAGTTGTGAGGAGCACTGAGGGAGTCCGTGGAGGTGAAGAGCTCTTCTGGAATCTGGCCCACAGTAGATGCACATTAAATTCCAGTCAGTCAATGTAGAGCAGAGCAGAAAACCTCAGTGTGGAAAGAGAAGAAYGTTGACTCCATGGCACTGTTAGAGAGAGATGCAGGCAGCCGAGTAGCTCCCTTCTGTACCTGTTGCCCTTCCATGCCTGGCCATCGGGGATATCGTGAGAAGCACAACCCTGGATAGCAGAGATTGATTCTTCCCAAAAGACTGGCACAATAGTCTATGGAATGCTGACTGGGACTGGGGTAGACAACACAGTCAACTCAGAAAGAATGGATGGGAAATTATATGTACCGCCCACCAACATCTAATAATCTCTTAGAAAGCAGGAGTGGGCTGCATCGAAATTCCTTTTGAAGATGAGGTACAACTGATAACTTTATAGCAGGTTTTTTTGTTGTTGTTGTTTCCATTAGTAAGGTTGAAAGTTTCCATTTGTGTGTGCTAACCAGCAATAGTGATTAATACCAGTTCTGTGGGTTGGCAACCTGGGCAGTTCTTTGGCTAGTCTAACCTCAAATCAYTCCTGGGGCTAYAGTCAACTGGGTTCAGCAGTCTTGRGGTGTGCAAGATGGCCTCTGACTCCTCAGGCAGTGAGTGCTGGCTTTTGGCCAAGGTACATTGGCCCCTGTCCACTTGGCCTTTTATCCTCCAGCAGCCTAGATTGGGCTTCGGCAGAGGAAGTGGCCCCTGGGTTGCAGGGATTGCAAAGCTTCTTAGGCCTAAGTTCCGGAATTCTCTCCATATTCTATTGGCAAAGCAAGTCAAGTCCTCTCAGATACAAGAGATGGAGAAAAAGTGTCTAGCACAGTGCCCAAGCAAGACAGGGGCTGGTCCTGGTTGGGCATTCATCTCTTGAGGCATTTCAAGTTGGGGTAAGGAACTTTACCCAGATAGAGAACCAAGTGAAGCCACTCGGGGGATGGCTGGGAGTCCCTGCAAGTGTGGCCCACAGTTGGCCAGCCTCCGTGCTGTGAGGAAGACCAGGCAGTGGCAGTAGAGGGCTGARGAGGCTGGAGAGCTCCATGGACATCCTAGCCACACACCCCCCAACCAGAACAAGGAAAGTACTGGAAGAGTCAAGGAGGCAAAGGAAGAAAACACAGCAGGTAGGTGGAGCTGGGGGGCCAGACTGATATGAACACCTCCCTGCACAGATCCACTGACTGACCTGCTCTCCACCAGTCCCTGGAGGGCTCCCGAGAACTTCTGCTTCTTTAAAATAGATCTTCTCAAATTCCACTTGCTGGCTCTCCCCTGCCCACCTCAATAGATCTCACAAGCTCATCATTTGTGGGGCAATACTCACCTTTGGGTTCTGCCCTTTGAAAATTTTTCTGCAAAAACCGATGACTTGTTTATGTGTTTTGTTGGTTGGTTTTTAAATGGCACTTCTTGATTGTGTGTGTGTGTGTGTGTGTGTGTGTGTGTGTATGTGTGTGTGGGTGTGTGTGTGGGTGTGTGTGTGTGTTTTCCCAAAAGCTGATGAATTTTCTTTGTAAAATTTGGGATACTTTGTCCAATATAAAAGGGTCACAAATTGGCAGGTCAGGGAGACCCCTACAATAATGTGCCATTTTTGTGTTTATAATATAAAAGGATATGTTTGGTAATAAACTATACTTAATCATAGATTGTTTAGGCCTAAATAAAAATACTCCATGGTAGTAAAAAAAATACTGTAAATGCAATAATCAATACTATATTAGCTATTCAGGAGTATTTTGCATTAAGGTGACCATATTTTTTAAAAAGTCTATAAAATTCTGCAACAAGATTCATGATGCAGGAGACACTGTGCCTGCAGTGTGGACCCCCAAGCCCTCCAGGCCCAGCTTGGCCCCTGACACAGGTGACTCCAGTACGTACTTTATGGATGAAATGATGATGGTGATGATCCGCATCTGGCAGGCAGAGACAGAGGGCGTGAACACCTGGAACCAGTCAACCAACCACCCAAGGCCTGATCCTTACATCTGATCTTGAATGGCTTCCAGGATCCTGTTGAAGTTCATGAAGCATGAAGAAAGTGAGAAGGAGGATTAATTTAGACCCTCCAGAACTTTCAATTCAGAAGGAATCTTGACAGTCAACATCTAGTCTCTCCATCCAGTTCACTGTCCTTCCCTAGGATGTCATTAGCAGAGTCACCTCTGAACACTTATGAGTAAAGGAACCCTTTTCTTTGCCAGCCTTTGGGTTCCTGTTTAATTTTCTATTTTAAAAAGTTTTCCTAGGCTCTACTCATTGGGGCCGGGGGGTGGGGTGCTTGCCTAGTGTGGGCAAGGCCCTGGGTTTGATCCTCAGCACCACAAAAATACATACATACATACATACATTTTTTTAAAAAATTAACAAGTTTTTCTTATATTGAATAGAAATCTGCCTTCTGTAATTTCTACATCTGACCCTTAATTCTGTATTTAGCAGTAGATAAACCAAATCTATATTCTCTTCCACAAAACCTTTYATCAAACTGAATGTCTCCCATTGGTGAACATAGGACAAAAGTTGGTGGAATTGCGTCATGCAAACCCAAAGGGATCATTATCTTGAACAGTTATGTGGCAATATGTGGCTAGTTCGGGGGCTACATACAGCATCTCATGGTTTTGAACTGTGTGGTTAGAGACACCGAGAGTTGACAGATTAGTCAGGGATTTGTCAAGAGTATTAATTACAAACTTTGAAATCTTGGTCAGGGAAAGTTCATCTCAGCGCATCTTGCAAATTTGATCAAAGTCTTTTCAGTACTGATTTGATGATGCTTAACCACAAGGTTGGAGAATGAAGGTTTTCATTAGAAATTATTGATGTCACAGAGCACATTCGCAGGGAAGATGCACATTTGGACATCAACCACCCATGCTCTTCCCCACCCCTCCCAGACTCCCTGTCCTCCACCCCCATTTTCTGGGCTCTCTTTTTTCTTTGAACTTCTGAAATGGCATTTTGGACAACTACAAAAAGAAACTGTGGTCTTAACAACATTAGCTGAGAGATGACTGCTACTTGCGGGGGGAGGGGGCGCTCATGTTAAGTGATGTTTTTTAAACCAAAGAATAAGCCAGGATACCGGGGAGTTKACTGAGATTTGGGGAATGAAAGAAATTTAGGACTGGCTGGGAACTTGAAAAATRGAGGAATACAGTACATAGTTGGTTATGGGAAAAGGTAAGCAAGCAATCCTCTACCCTTGTCAGTTTTGGAAAAACAATCTATTGTTTTGGTAGCTTGTTTCTCCCTCCCCTTCGGGAATGAAAAAAAAAAAATGTGCTGGCACCTGAAGAATGGAAAATGAAATAAAAATCCACCCAGGGCAGCTTCTCCAAATAACTGGCCTGCATCTTTCCCTCCTCCCTTCTGCCAGGGATGTTTCCTCCAGGCCTCCAGTGGCTGTCAAAAACACCGAGGGTGTCCGTGGGGTTCCTTGGTGTTTGGGTAACTGCAGGTCGATTTGGGAAGGTGGACGGTGCAAACATGCCAATAACTAGCTTTGGTCAGACATCGCGCTGAGTTTCAGGAAGCCTCTCTCCGTCCAGYCGGGGTCTGGAGGCGCTAGTCTGGGAAGATTGGGGCAAGTCTGTACTGGTTCACCTGTTTGGAGGTTCTTCTTGTTCAGTTGCCTCTGCGCGCCAGATGGTGGCACCCCAGGCACTCCAGAGGTGGAGAGGAGGGAAAGGGAGGGGAAGGGTGGGGAGAGAAGGAAAGAGAAAAGAAGGAAGGAGAGGAGGACGTCAGTTCTGAGACTGCCGTTCCCCAGCTAATTCGGAGTTTACCTGCCCCYGTCCCCTACGGAAAAACCCTAGGCTTCCGCAGGACTAGGTGTCAGAAAGTTAAGATTTTTCGCTAAAAAAAAAAAGGGGGGGGGGGTTCCGAGGGTTTTCTTTCCGACCAACTGTTTGTACCCTCCTGGGTCTCTAGACTCTTAAGGGAAATTGGTGTCCATAGTCGATGAGAGCGCGGGTGCTTTTGGGTGCGCGGAAAGTTGCTGGCACTAGGTCGTTGTGAGTGCGTCAACATCTGACCTGTCCCCTTTGTGTCATGTTTTGCAGTTGCTGGATTTGTGTGACTCGGTGAAGGATGATGCCCTGAGGGTGGTCTCTGCCTTCAACATTCCACACACCAGCCTCCATGCACCAATMGCCGGGATCCCCTCCCCGCACGCCGCCTGGGCCTTCTACCCTGCGCGGATTCTGCCGCTGGCTGGGGAAGCGGAGCGGTGCCAGCGGCCCAAGCTGGGAGCCAAGCTGTAACCCGCGTGGACGGAAGAGTAGCGGCCAGTCGGCAGCTGCCCCCAAACTCCCTTCATGGGTGTCCGAAGCTGGGGCAGAGGCCGAGCTGGCACGCGCGCGGCGGCCGCCCGCGGGGATTTGGGTGGCGGAGCAGAGGTCCAGCGGAGGCTTCGGAGGCACGCAGTTGGCTGTAGGGCAGAGCGAGCCTAGACGGCCGCCAGGGAACTAAAACACTTGGTCCTTTTCCTGTAACCCCGCCTGTCCCGGCCGCGACCTTGTCTAGCTTTGGCGCCGGTTCCCCCGAGACAATCAGAGTGGGCTCCCCCGCGAGCGCACCCCACAGACGGGTGCCGCCAAAGCTCTGCTGTCAGCGGTGAGTCAGATTCCCAGTGATTTCGAAAAACTCTGGTTCTGGGTGAAAAAAAAAATCAAAACATCAAAATCAAATACCCTCAGGCGAAAGGAAACAAGAAAAAGAAAAAAAGCCCCATCCACTCCCGGCGCGGGCAAAGGTTTAGCCAGCCACTGAGGCTTTTCCAGTGAATCAGACCTTTGGGGCTCGGCGGGGAAACGCACCGGCAGGGGGAGGGGAGCTGAGCCTGGAGTTGTGCTCTGAGCAAAGTCAGAACTTGGGCTGGTCCTCCCAGGCGGGCGGTTTCCGGACCGCAAGACAACGCGCGGAAAACATTTTTTGCCACGTGAAACTGTAATCTGTTCTTTAGAAGAGCACAGACACCAAGTTTAATAAAGAACCTGGGTGCTGGCAAGGCGCCTCCGCTGCTTGGCGAGGTCGGGGGAGGGGATCTGGGGAATACATCGCAATAAATTGGTTTCGGAACTTGGGAGACCACACAGGCGGCGCCTGCGGTCCGTGGATTTCTCATTTCTTAAATCCCAGTTGCACGACTTCATTCTTCTTTCTCTCAGTCCAGCTCATCTTCTCTGTCTCTCCYTCCACTTCTCATGACAGCGACAGGAACACTGCCCCGCCAGTGGCAGCGAGAGCGACGTCCAGGACGGGTAATCCAATACCCACCGGCCCTTTCCACGCCGCCCTTCTCTGGGCTCAAGCCCAGTTCCGGGAGGACCTCCCTACCCAACACCAGAAAGCCCTAAAGGCTCGCGGTCACCTGAGGCGGGGGACCTGATCCCAGCCGCCCAGCACAGCCTGGGTCGCGAGCAAAGCAGGAACCTCCGCCTCCAGGCCGGCTTCCTTGTTGCGCCCCAAGTATGGGTGCTTAGCCGGTTGCTTTCCCAGAAACCTTTGTTTTTTTACGGTTGTTCACGAGGTCACACGAGCGGGCGACACAGGGATGGTGGAGCTACTTAAGGACAGGCAACCCCGCATTCTGCTGCGAGGTTCTTTTCCGGCCGGGTCTACGTGGCCCGACACGGCCAGGAGCGCCGAGCACGCCGGGGTGTGGCGTGTTTGGGGCTCTCGGCTAGAGGAGCTGGTTCCTTTGCTCTCCCCCGGGTAGGACAAGGAGTGGCCGAGCCGCAGGCGGCTCCGGCAGCTACCGACAGCCGCAGGCGGGAATTTCTAGCCCGGGTCAGCACAGACCTCGGCCTAGGAGTCTACCTCGCTGCATCCACGCACTTGCCATTTCCCTCTTGTAGCGAAATCCCCGGGCGGGACTAGGCGCGTGTCCTCCAGACCCTTTGGGAACCCGTGGCTTCCTTCACCTAGCCCAGGACTCGCCAGAGAAGGAGACTTTAACCTGAGACTGTGCTGTGTCACGCTGACGTTAGATCTGCTTCTGAACACAAAAAGGACCAAGATGGCCCGATGGCAAGACAAGGCCTCCTCACTTGCTCCTCTAAACGGGAGGAGGCTTCTTCTCCCGGTCCGCGGGTTTGCGAATTAGAGAGGTCCCTACCTGGAGTTTTCTCAATCCCCACCTAGCAGCCTGCAGAATGTTCCATTTCCGGACCGACCTCCCACTGCCCCGCCGCGGTTGCCTCGAAGCCTCGGGTTGGGGAGCGGGCAGGAAGGCCCTGGTCACCAGCCGCGAGGTTGGGCAGGAGTGCAGACCCAGAGGAGCCATGGGAGACGGAGTTTGGTCTCCTGGGAAAGGGAAGAGTTGGGGCCACGGACTTCGAGGAGGAGGAGGAGGATGGGGACGCGAAAGGAGGAGGTTCGGGGGATATTGCGACACCTATGCGGCTCTTTCAGTGAGGCCAGAACTTCGCTGTTCCGCCTGAGCCAGCTTTAGCCCGCTGAGGAATGGTTCTGGCAGGTCTCTCCCCCAGCAAATTTCGGGGGTCCCAACAGAGCGCAAGCACCACCTTTTCTCGTCTAGAGGCCGAGACGCTTCTTTATGCCCTTTTATTTTCTTAAAATTATTTGAGGTTTTTTTTTCCATTTCCCTATTTGATTTACTCTGCGTAACCTCGCACCCAGGCTGCGGAGAATGCTCCTCCTGGGATCACTCCTTGCCTTTTTCTAAACTCTCTTTCCCACCATGGGCTCTGTCTCTTAAGGAGATTGAGCGCCCCACAAACGCTGGGTAGCGTCTGCGGGGTGACAGGAGGTCTCCTAAGAGTCCGGCGCAAGGCAGGGCGAGAGAGGTGAACATCTTGTGGATTTGGGTCCCCCTCCCCCCCGCCCCCGAAGGCCCAGATTCTTGGAGAAGGAAGAGCTCAAAGACCCAGCGTCCAGCCTCGCATCCGCGAGTTTTCAAGGACCAATCCTGTCACCAAGCTGGCCGGAGCGGTGGAAACTGCACAGTAAGGGGCAGGGGCGCCTCCAGAGGCTTTCACTGGCGGCTGTAGCCAGGCTGGGCTCAGACCGTGCCCCGAGCGCCCCCTCTGTTCTGCCGCTAGCCACAGCGGACACTGGGTGGGGGGAGTGTAGACTTCGGAGTGGGGGATGGGCGCGCATGCAGCGTTAGCAGGCCGAGTCACTCTGGTAAACACGCCAGGGCTGGCGGCGCGCGCGGCAGGGAACCCGGCCCGGMCACCCCCGCCTCTACCTGCCCCGGCCTGCACGCGCCAGCGGCCCGGGAGCTGCGGAGGCGGGACTTGACAGCCCCCCGCCGGGGCGGGACCTAGCGGGGGCGGGGCCCGCGGTGATTGGCGCGGGCGTGGGGCCGCCAGTCTGAGCAGGGCTGCAGGGCMGCGCAGGTTTCACTTCGCTCCGCGCAGCCGCTGGGTCTCTAGCTCATAGTATCGCGGCTGCGTCCGCGCGCCAACACCGCCGCCGCGGGATTCCTGCAGCCAGCCTGCGAGCCCTGCCCCATTGCGGTCAGAACCGCTTCGGGCAGCTAGGTTCGTGCCGTTTCCCGTCTCCACCACCTCGGCGCCCTTCCTTGGCTCTTGTCCCCCCAATGTCTGACTCTGATTCTCGGACTGAGAAACGCAAGGTAAATACCTACSAGTCTGAAGCAGCGGGCCGGGGACGTTTGGAAAACAGAGGCGTTGGAGCCCGTATGGCTCCCTGTAGTGCCCGCTTTCCGCGCACGTGCGGGCGGAGACGCTCCCATTCGTTCCGCTTGTCGCCTGGCGGGAGGCGGCGATTGGTGTGGGTTGGGTTCCTTCCCAGGCTGGGGCATTCTGGGGAAGGGTCGTCGGCGCTGAAGCTTCGGGCACTTAGCTGAAGTAGGATTCGAATCGGGATGCAGCGCGCGGAGGTTGTGCAGCGTCGCAGGCCAGGTTGGAAGAGAGCGTGCTCTTACCGCCGGGCGGGGAGCTAGAGTACCCGCTCCGCGGCACCGGGCCGAACACCCATGCCGGGAAGTCTCGCCGCTGGCTCTCGCGGCCTGGAGTAGTGAGTGACCACTCTCCAGCGKGTTTGGCGTATTGGTTTTTGGGCGCACGGACTCTTGGGGAGAGTTTGCGGAACTGCAGTGGTGATTTAAACAATGAGCCCGGGATTTTCCTTAAACTTAWTCAAGCTAGAGTTTTGCCCTGTTTAAAGTGCCTGGGGGCCCTGCTCGGTCTGCGGGCACCCTACGGACAGTGCCAGCGCGCGATCCACTGGCAGCAAGAGACCTAGRGCCTCCGTCGACCGCCAGCGCCACAGCGGGGACGAGCCCCGGCCCGCAGAACTTGCTCGGCCCGTAGAGCTTGGTTGTCCTGGAGGCTCCCGTGCGCCCTATGCTACCCCGGTCCGTTGGCGGTGCAGGCTGGCGGCGCCGTGCCCTAGGTGKCCTGTTTACCCTGAGGCTCTGGAGTTGCTGGTGGAGGGCTCTTCGGACKCCGAGGATTGGGGTGTGGATGTGCACGCTTGTAGCCTGGGATGGTGGTCGTTCAGATTTGGTGCGAATCCGCGGCGCACAGGGAGACAGGTGAGGAAGTTGCTGGAGTTGGATGGGTGCTGCAGCCCGGGCAGATGAGGCCGTGGGGCTCTCGCCCTGACTGGCATGAACGAGAACGGGTGGCAGGAACTGCGGTATGAGGACGGCAGAGCGGGTCCCGTGAGCGCAGATCTCGCTTTGTCTCCAGGTGCCCGGCTGCCCGGAGCAGCGGAACTTCGGAGGCGCGCGCGGTGTCGGGGTCGGGCGGGGCTGGGTGTCGGAGCTGCCGGGCTGCCGCCGCGGCCGCCGGAGCAGCGCTCGGAGGCGAGTTTGTCAACAATCGCCTAGCCTTTGGCGGCTGGACCTGTAGGCGCCGCCCCCGCCCCCRCCGCCCATTGGCTGCGGCGCGGAGCGACCGTGCGCGGGCCAATGGGGAGCGCGGGCACCGGCGCCAGCGGCGCGGGGAGGCCGGCGGTGCAAGCCGCGGCGGGCGCAGTGCGCGAGGGGAGGAGCGGGCGGAGGCGGAGGATGTTCCCGGCTGCGGCGGCCGGGGCAGCGCGGGCCAGAGGCGCGGCGCGCGAAGCCCTGGGCTGCCTGGCGGAGCGCGACGGCGGGCGGGCGGGCAGGCGTGGGCTCTGTGAGGCCTGGGGGGCTCCGAACCCAAGCGCGRGGTTTTGTGTCCTGCGGTGCCTCCGTGGTGACGGTCTGGGGGCGCCGGGTCGGCGCAGGGCGCGGGTCGGCCGCCGCGGGGCGCGGGCTCGGACGCTACGCACCGAAGGGAAGGGGCGGACGTGAGTTCGGTGTGCTTGCCTTCGGAGGGGAGGGTCTCTGGGGTGAGGGAGCCGCGCGCCCAGAGTGGCCGAGCGTTCGGAGTTAGTTGAAATTGTGGACTTCGCTGGGGGTGCCTGGGACGGCCCTGGGGGGCCCCCCACTTGGGAAGGTGCACTTAACAATACGGCTGCACCCAAGAGGAGTTCTGTCCGGTTTGGTGTGGCGCATGGGGCCAGGAGCTAGAGGGACCGAGGCGGGAGAGCAACAGAGCCCGGCCGATCCGCGCTCTGAGTTACAAACTCTATTGTGACGCACTTACTACGACTGACGGCCGCTGCCAAACCTTCCCCAGACTTGCTGCCCTCAGCATTTTCGGCAAACAATGGGGCCGGAGCAGGGAACTCGGCCAGCCGCCTGTAATCACTGCATCTGCGCCCGCTCCTGTGCTCCAACACCGAGWCGGGTCCCGGGAAGTCAGAGCCCGCTGGGAGCTTCCGACTTGATGCAAGTCTGTCCAGAGCAAAAAGCACATGCSAGTAGGCTTCAAATGAGCCGCTTCTCTTGAAACTTGTGTGTGTATAATGTGTGTAAGAGCACCAGCTCCACCAGTAGTTGACATTGTAGTAACAACTGTTTAGTTTGGTGGTATGAAGTTTAGTCACGCCCCTGAGAGAAAGAKCTGCACACCTTTGTTATGTTAGGTGCATTGGAGGGGGGGGACTTTCAGAAAAGTAAACAATTTAGTTTTAAAGTATTTGAGACTCAAGCATTTTTGATGAATTGGTGTAAGCAAGATTATTTTATTATAATCATTATCTTGCTGAAGATCATCTTAGGTTTTTTTCTTTCTTGCAGAAAAAAAGACCAAATGGCAAAGCAACCTTCCGATGTAAGTTCTGAGTGTGACAGAGAAGGTGGACAATTGCAGCCTGCAGAGAGGCCTCCCCAGCTCAGGCCRGGGGCCCCTACCTCCCTTCAGACAGAGCCTCAAGGTAATCCCGAAGGCGAAGGGGACCGCTGCCCCCACGGCAGCCCACAGGGCCCGCTGGCCCCACCGGCCAGCCCTGGCCCTTTTGCTACCAGATCCCCGCTTTTCATCTTTGTGAGAAGATCTTCCCTGCTGTCTCGATCCTCCAGTGGGTATTTCTCTTTTGACACAGACAGGAGCCCAGCACCCATGAGTTGTGACAAATCAACACAAACCCCAAGTCCTCCTTGCCAGGCCTTCAACCATTATCTGAGTGCAATGGGTAAGCAATGCCCGGGTAAGGGGCAGTGGTGTGTGGTTGTTGGAATATCTGTTTCAAAGCTGTGTGTAGCATTGAAAGTCCCCTTTTAGGGCCTTTCAACTGGTTTAATCTGTATTTTCATGGGCACAGAGGATGTATAAAGTCAAATATCAAGCCAGCGGGTTTTTTTTTTTGTTTTGTTTTTAATTCATGAAGTCTGTGGCATGAGTGAAGTCTGGGCATGAGCCTTCAGGGCTATAAAGCTTGAATTTCTGCTAAAGCACATAACCCTGGCACGGTATTTGGACCACTGGGTTTTACCTGTTAATGACATTCTGCCTGAAAGAATTCTGCCTGGTGTCCCTTTTCAAACAGCTTAATAACATAACTGAAAGTAAAGAAAGATTTGCAAGTCAAACATTTTCAAAAATGACATGTGGGGAAATTGAACTAGTTTGTATAGCAGTGCTGACATAGAACCATGAAGGTGGTTTGTTTTATGGGCAAATTTCCCCTTGGATTGGTGACTCAGAGTTTGGACATAGTACTAATGAGCTGGGGAATCAGACTTTATGTCAGGRATTCAGAGCAATGTTAGTGTCTGAACTAGGAGTGGCAAACATAAACACCCAGAGAGTCCTATCAGTGAGGGCAACTGTGGCAAGTTGGACAGCACTTGCCACTTCTGCTAGTCCCATCCTGATTGTTGCCCTGAGGGCATGTGGTCTCAGAGTAGCATGTATTCTAGTTTTGCAACATGGTCCTGGAATGCAGATTTTGAGCCTCATATTCTGACATTTAAACGTTGACAACTCACATTCTTTAAAACATTGCATAAGCCATTTTGAAACCTCTGCAGGCTCAATTTGACTCTGGAGCCTCTGGTTTGTGCCTGAGAATGTCCAGTCACCCTGGTGAAGGGAGGAGTCTAGGTTGGTTCAACTGGCTATTCTTCACTAAYGGAAAAAGTTCCTGTCTTGATCATCATTCACCAAAATTAGATTTGACATTTGTTCACATTGGCTTGCTCTGCATAAATAAGACAAAGAAATTGGTAATGTTATGGATTAGGAAATCTAATATAGATTCTACCAAGATTAGATTGTACCTGCCATGCCAAAGGCTAAGTAAAAGTCATGGGATCAAACTCTYGACTACAATGACACACCTTGTATTTGTAAATATGTTGCAGCTCTGGGCAGGTCTGTCCCCATGTGACAGATGGGAAGAACCTCAGAGGAGTGACACTTGTCAGGGGTGGGGCACACCTGGCACAAATGACAAATTCCACTAGGGTGTATGCTGTCTGCACATCTGCCAAATGCTGGGGCACGGTTACTATATTATGTCAGGAGCTGGAAGTTTCATTGTTGCTATTGCTTTAGTCACTACCAGTGCTTCTGCTCCTGAGTTCAGGAAGTTCCTGGTGCTTGGAACTCTCGTATCCACAAAATATTCCAGTGCATATGTGAACCTACAACATTCTAATGGAGTTGCCAACGCTTTTCAGCATGGATGTTTGAAAACCTGTTTATTTTAAGGACCCTCTGGAAGCTGTTATGGTTTCACACTGCAGGCCTTTGTAGCGAGCGGAGTCTGCAGGTGTGGCTAAGGCATGGCTGTAGTTTCTCCTGCCTCATTAACTAGGAAGAGTGTTAGCTGGGTGAGTGAGTGTATTTTTTTTAAATGTGAAGGCAGACATGAATTGCATGCTTTTGCTGGTGSGGGGGGCAGGGGTGACAAATACTGTTAGCAAGCTAATTATAATGTAAGCACTGTTATTTCAGATGACAAATACTGAGCTTTAAAGATCACAATCCAGATTATTAAGCAGAGTTAGTGGCTTTATCTGTGAAGTAAAGAAACGGATCYCAGGGTTTTATTTTGTACTATGAACTACATTCTAGTAGATTGGTGTGAGAGCTTAGAATTTAGTGTGGCAGAGTAAATGGTAAGTTGTAAGGAATTTGTTTAAAGTTAATGTGCCAAGATAAGTTTTCAGCATTAAGTTTTAGGAGATTTGTGGGAGAGGATAAGTTAGTGTGAGGAGAGGACTTAGCCAGATGTCAGTTTATGAAATTGACAGATTAAATTAATAATTTTTATAGCCTCTAACTTCCTCTTTCTTCTGGCCAACCTCAGAGTCTCAGCTCCGTGAATGAAGGCCACTTAACACTGTGCTGTTATGTGGTTCTCTTATATTTCTGGCCATGTTTAATATTCCTTGCTCGGTCATCTCCATTGAGATCTTTAGTAGTGACCCTTTTGATAATTTTATTGAAATATCTGTTTTTYACAAAATGGTCTTGGGTGATAGGTTTGAGCTCCTGGAACAAATGTGAGATTGCAGAGAAAGAAGTACGGCTTAGCCARGGCTCCTCCAGCCACAAAGTAGTTTTCTGTCTAGCGACTGGGGGTGGAGAACTGTGTGTCTTGAAGTTTTGAACCTGTATCTTTGATCTGATGACAAAGTGAAGGATTACTGGGGATTCATAGAAGTGAGGTGTTCCTCCTATAAACATCTTCATGTTTTCCTCCATTTTTCTGATTTTTCTGAAGACGTGTTGGAAGAACATTTTTATCATGAGGAGACATGGTTTGTACACTCGCTCAGTTTTTGCCTTCATGTGTACACTGGGAGGATTAGCTTGACAGATGTTCTCTTAGTGGGTAACTGATAGTTTGCATAAAAGTCACCCCTGCCTGTGGGTTCACCCCCCGTATCTTTTAGAATGGTCTGGCTATTATCAGTAACTTCGCCATGTTGTGTTAGAAAGTGTCTTAAACTTTATACTTGTTTCTAGTATGTCAGAATTCTCAGGTGGAAGTTAATGGTCTTCTGAACCCTCTGTACCCCTCAGCATACTGTGGGGTGTTACCCATTACCTCTTGCACCTGGTAATCATCTGACCCCTCTTCTAGATTGAGAGCTTCCTGTGGGAAGCATGATGTCCTGCATGAGCCTGACAGGAGAATTCCAGGATTTTTTCAAAGGGACCCCAGCTCAGCCTGTTACCCTTTCCTTGGAGTTTTGCTTTGTTTTGGTTTTGCCATGCTAAGGACTGGACCCAGGCCCTTGCCCATGCGCTCTCTACCTATTAATATCTTGAATTCATGGGTTAAATAAAATACAATTTTATGGTAGTAAAAAAACTAACATAAAATATTTACCATCTTAACTGTTTTGAAGTGTGCGGTTCAGTAGTGTTAGGAGCGTTCATGTCGCCATACAGCCCGTCTCCAGTACTTTTCCGTCTTTTAAAACTGAAACTCTACCATGACACAAAGCCCTGCTTCCCCCACCGCCAGCCATGGGCAGATCCATTCAGCCTTCCATGTGAAATTTGGACTACTTCTGTAGGTAGGATCAAAGTGTTCAGCCCTCTGTGACTGACTTAGTGCACTTAGCATAATGACATCTGCACTGTGACGTATGTCCCTACTTTTTAAGGCTGCATTACATTCTAGTGCAAAACCACACCACATTTTGTTTATCTGTTTGTTCATCCACCAGTAGACACTAGGGTTACTTCTGCCTTTTGGCTATTGTGGAGTGTGCCCCCTTGAATATGGGTTTGCTAAATCTTACCAGGATCCTGCTCTGAATTCTTCTGGATATGTACCCAGAGGTGGGATTGCTGGATCATATGGTGAGTAAGGGAGAACTGTCATGGAGTCTTACAATCCTTGGGTAGGTATGTCTCTCCAAGTACAGTAGACCAGCTTTAGGTCTTCTTAGATTTCCTTCATTATCGTCCTTTAGTTTTCAGTATGCAGAACTTGTACATTTATTTAGATGTATACCTAAATTTTTCATTTACTTGGGAGCAGTTCTATTAATTTTAGTTTCCACATGTTCACCTTTAATATATTATAATAATGAGAGTAATTTTTGTCCTTTATAGCCTTGTTTGAACTCACTAATTCTAGAAGCTTCTTTGTTGATTTCTTGATCTATCTATGCATATAGTCATAAAATCTGAAAATAGGGACAGTTTTGGGGTTTGTTTGTTTTTCCCCCCACTTTCTTTGCACATTTTTCTTTTTCTTGCTCTATTGCATTGGCTAGAACTTCCACCACTTATGTTGAATAGGAGTGGTACATGCTTCCYTGTTCCTGCTCTTGGGGGAATTCTTAAAAGATGAAGAAGTTTTACCTTTATTTCTAGATTGTTAAAAAGAGTTGTTGTTTTTTTTTTTAATCATGAACGGAGTGTGTGTTAGATTTTATAAAATATTCTGTATTATTTAGTATGATCAGATGATTTTATTTGTTTAACATATTGAAATGGTGCATTACAATGATTTGTGGTGTCTAGGATAAATCCTACTTGGRTGGGGTTAAATATTTGTGCCTTGATTTTTGAGGTTTGTTGTTCGAAGTCTGTCTGGTTTTGACATGTCAAYCTTAACAGTGAGTTTGGAAAGTGTTCCCTTCTCTTCTGTTTTCCTGGAGAGATTAGTTAGTATTAATTCTTTAAATGTTTTATAGAATCTAATGGAATCATCTAGGCTGGGAGGTTTCTTTGGGGGCACTTTTAGGTGACAGATTTCATTTCTCGGTGTTTGTAACGTTGTTCAGGTTGTTTCAACTTGGTTTGAGTTTTGCTAGTATGTGGGTTTTGAGGAATAGGCGCATTTCTTCTAAGTTGTTGAGTTTATGAGTATAAACATATTTGTAGTATCCCTTGTTACCCTTTTAAATGGATTCAGGATCTTGTCTCTTTGATGGTATAGGTATCTTGTGTCTTTTTATCTCTATCAATCTCAGAGGTCTATCGCTTTCTTGATTTTTTTTTTTTCCAATCAGCTTTTAGTTCTATTGATTTTTCTCTTTTCCTGTTTTCAGGTTCTTTGCTTATTTCCATCTTTTTTTTTTTTTTTTCGGGCTCATGATCCGTGTCGTCGGGTCTCACTGGTGGATGTGTTGGGTTCCCCAGTCCTTCGTTCCTGTGCAGTGGTTCTGCTGACTGTTGAGGGTGGTGGCACCGCCGTGTTGAGGTCCCCAGTTGTAGTGGTAG